TTACGAAAAAATCCACGATTTTTACTTCGGTAAAATTCAAAAGAAAAAAATATCAATTTTATTTGTAAATGTTTTTTTTTTTAATTTAATAGAAATATCAAAAAACCAGTTGATATGACTGATCGATCATTAACAGAAGTAACAACAACTAATAATGATTATTGTCGTCTTGATACAAAAACACTTAAACGTAAACCATATCATCGTGCTGATTTCTATTTTTATAAACGAAATTCATCACGTTCAACAAAACAAGTATATTTTTAATTTATTTAATAATTATATTTCTATATATTTTTTTTGTTTTGTATTTAGAATCATAAACAATTATCTCTCACACAATATAATCGTTTTTTAAAATACTATCAAGATTGGTCATTAAAACATATATCAGATAATGATAATGATCCACTTAATAATCTGTGGCTTAAAACACATCGATCGAATAATAATAATAATGAACAAAAAAATTTCGATATTCAATCAATATTTTCAAATAATGATTTAACACAACCACCATATCGTCCCTATCGACAATATCAAATTATTAATACATAAAAGCTAAAAACATGTATATGTCTGTATATATATATATTTTTTTTTTTCGATGATGTGTCTCTGCATATTTTGTATTTTACTTCCAGTCATTCTATGTATCATAGACACATGTTTAATGTTTTTCTTCGATCTCGTTTTTTTGTTGTTTTCCTTGTCGTACTATTATAACATACGCTTGTACATGATAAATTCTATTAAACTATTAACAAAAAAGATTTAAAAAAAAAAGCAAACATCTTATTCTCTTTGTATTCAATTTTTATATCTTATCATATATAGATATGATAAAAAAGAAATTATGTTTTATTCATTATTCCTAATATAAATAAAATACATTTGTTATCGAAAAGTTGTTATAATTAAAATGTGAAACCACGGGAGTATGGGCAGAAGAATATGAAGGGAATCGATTTACAGTATGATATTTCGTTGGTGATTTTGATTATTGTTGTTCAAGCTATTTGTCTTTGTGTACATTTTAATCGTGAGATGTATTTAATACTTGTCAATGTAAAGTGTAACGCAAAAGTTTAAGATACGTTTATTTTTGAAGTTTTTTCATCGAAGATGAGTAGCTAGATCGAATTCAAATAGTGATTTGGATAGTTCTTAAAATTCTCTATCGAATACAATATGTGTCAAAGTTTCAAAAGAAACTTTGTGAAGAGAGTTTTCCAGAAAACCGTACTAGGGAGATTTCAAGTCCTAGAGAGTTTTGACAGAAAGAGCAGAAAATTCTGAACTAAATGAAGAATCGCCCAGCTCTCTACGATATTCCGTCACAAAGTTATAAGCATTACAAAAAAAACAAAAAAATGTGGTTTTAATCGAATTTTAGGGCTTTTTTGATAAAAATCGAAGAAAAACGCGTTTTTTTCCAATGCTTATAACTTTGTGATGGAATATCGTAGAGAGCTGGGTGACCCTTCATTTTGTTCAGAATTTTCTGCTCTTTCAGAAGCTTATATTGAAAAAATCTTTCTGTCAAAATCCTCCAGGACCTGAAATTCCCTTAGTACGATTTTCTGAAAAACTCTCTTCACAAAGTTTTTGTTTTGAAAATTTGACACATATTGTACTCGATAGGAAATTTCAAGAACTATTCAAATCACTATTTGGATTTCATCTAGTTACTCATCTTCGATGAAAAACTTCGAAAATATAAGTGTCCTAAACTTTTGTGGTCCACTTTAGAAGAACAAATTGAAAGAAAATAGATTTAGAGAACTTAGTCAGTAATAAATGATGTCAAGTGGCAAACTCCATGATTTTCTCTTTCAATCATCATTAAAAACTTTTTCACATATCCGTTTAATCTTGTTTTTCAATTAGAGTTGATAGTTCACCATATACTCTTTATCTATTTTATCTGAAATTAAACTAGACATATGATCGAAATGAAGGGTAATGGTGTTTTTATCGAGGATAAGAGTTCGTTTTACACATCGACAGAGATATTTAAGCATGATTGAAGTCATTGAAAATCATTTGTATATACATATTCGTTTGATCAATTATATGGATATTACGTAATTTTGATTCAACGAATTGAAAACCCTATTAATAAGGAATGAATGAATCATAGAGAAGTCATAATTCGATTACTTCATTAAAAAATGTATTAACTTTCAGAAAATGACATATGAAATAATCAAATTTTCTAAGATGTTTTTTCTACATATCAATGGTCATTCATCTATCATATATTACCGATTTTTGGCCATTGTGGATCTCAAAAATATGTAATATTATTTATTTTTGTTTCCACTTATTACATAAAAATATTTATTCCTTATCTAGTTTTTACATTCTTGTCTTTTAACACGAGCATGGACAATCACTATAAAGCTACTACTAGTGAACGCCTTCTTATTCTGAACGATGAAAGTATTTTTTGAAAATTTGTAAAATTGATAATCACATATAATTTATGCATAGGTTTTTAACATAATTATATAGATTCGAAATCTAAAGAAAGATTTATTTTCAGCATAGATGCTACTATTGTGACATGAAAGAGATAATGGATAGTTGATTTTGAAGATATTTTCGGATTAAGTATTTATTCAACAAGAATTTTTTTCGGCCTAAATTAAGTTCTAAAATGAGTTGTTCAATCTCCAATTATTATAGAATTGAAAAATTTCACTTCCTTTCATACGATGATATCTTCTACCGTGATCATCGTATGTAGTTCTGTTTTGGAGGGTATGAGTGTGAGTGTAAGTAAAGAGACGAGATCAACCGACGACTGCATCCACACATTGAAGCTTTTTATCATGAAGGCCATACTTGTAAATGTCTTGCTTTGACTTATGGCATGCATAAAAGAAAATTAAAAAGTAAATAGTCGACCAGCTGCGTATAAGACACCAAGGTCTTTTCTTTCTGCTTTCGGAAGAAAAAAAAGGCGAAATAAAACGAGAAAAAAGCAAGTTGAAAGTTAATGTCATTCAAAGTTACAACAAAAACGATTCGAGCATTTCTGTAAGACATGGAGAAAACAATGAAAACAAGAACTGAAGCTAGTAGTAAGTACCCGTTCTTAATCAGTCGATAAAACAAAAACTATTTTTCATTGGTTTAATTATTGATATTTCACTTGTGCAAATAAAATTTCGAGTTGTCAACAACAAACTTTCACTCCTACACTATTGAGGATTTTAATCCTTCGTCAGATGTTTTATTCATTTTGCGAAGATGGAGCAAGTACGCATCATAATTTCACAATATTTTGAGAAATACATAGCAATTCTCTTTCGAACAAAAATGAAATTTTCGGAGGACTTCTCTTTTTTAGCAATGGGACACGATGAAATTATTTTCGTTTTGATCATCTGCTGTTACCATCTCTACTAAGTTTTGTGACGGGATCGATAGAGAAACATATCGACTTTTCTGTTCGGTCTGCGAATTGTTATCACTTTTCTCGCATTACACTTCTAAACTCATAAGAAATAGTTTCACAAAATGCCAAATCCGATCATACGAGACGACCTTGTTAATGCATGGAAGTATATATTGAAAATAGTAGTATCTCTCTTCTTTATACAGTCACACAGAGATGTTTTTGTGCTGTTTTGGTCGTTCTCATGTCGAATATGAATGAATATTATAGACTTTTAATAGATTCGAAATCCAAAAGCTAAAATACCGACCTCGCCCTATTCCTCGTCCATGATGGCCTTTTGATTTTTAGTGCAGATCATGAAAAAATTTCGACTTGCTGCTCGTTTGACTAATCCGTAGATTATGATTAGTATTGAGAGAATAATTATGGGCAACTGAAGGCATCTCAATCATCGTTTGCATTTGAATTCCTCAGAAATCGTGTTAAAAGTTTTTTTGTGAAGTTTCAACCCTGGTTTGTTTCTTATTCATTTCAGATTGCATATTGTCATCAGATGGATTCGAACCGTAAAAATCTTTTTACGATGTATGAAAAGGAATTTTAACAATTAGTGATTGTTAATAAGGTAGTAACTATAGATCAAGATCGAATCAAATCAATTACATAGATCTTCTCGAAGAGTGGGTCGAATCGAATTAAGATTTTGGGAGAGGATGTCGAATAATATCAAATTGGATAGACATTGAGACAAATCAATTCAGATCAAGTAGATTTTAATGAGTTTGAGTTTTTTGCAAAAAATGTATAAATTGTTGAAAGAAATATCGACAGTAGCATGATTATACTTTCTCGATCATAATTAAGCATGATGACAAACTTATGTTTGGCCGCATTCATGATCATGCATTGTTTGATTGTAACTATCGGGGCTAAGATCAAAACTAGTCATGACATTTTTTTTTCGAAAATAGAGTGCCTTTGTATATCGAAAAAGGGATTAATAGAAAAACAGGTCAGAAAATAAATAAAATCCATTCTTACAAGAAGAATCGTTATTTGTGCCATAAAAAGAATCCATATTAGGACCATACTATTCTGATGATTCCAACCGGGACGCATCTCAGTATAGTGAAAGGGTCATCATGCCCCAAAACTCAACAGTGATGGCTCCTACACAGACAAATTTATCATCAAAACACAAGTTTTACTATGATGGCAAGAGGTTTAATAAAAACATCGAAGCTCATGTAGAAAATTCTTTCCGTTGAGAGTAAGCCATGAGTGGAGTAAGAATGGGGTGGTAAAACTGGCAGATTAATACGATGACATTAGCATCTGGTAGGAAGTACTGTAAAAAGGATAGCTTTTTATCAATATAAGAATATCGATACTTTTCATTAGAGACATATTCCATCTTCAAACCCAGAAGGTGACTTAATTTTTCTGTGCCTAAAATCAAACTTTTTTCCACAGCTCTTTCACTATTCAATTATTTTGAATACTACTTGTCAAAAAAATTTATTTTTGTTTCTTGAAATATATAGTTATTCCAAGCATTCCTTCCAAAGCCATATGGGGAAAAGATAGTGAAATGGTTGCTGGACGCAACGAGCCAGGTACCGAACTCTATCAACTTCATGGCCCTCATGGTCTCTATATAACTGATGATGAAACTATCCTTATTGCTGACAGATGGAATCATCGTATTGTGGAATGGAAGATGAATGCAAAGAAGGGTCAAGTAGTCGCTGGTGGAGCAGGATTTGGAAATCGAAATGATCAGTTGAATGGTCCAACAGATGTGATTGTCGACAAACTGACAAATGCTCTCATCATTTGTGATTCGTGTAATCGTCGAGTGATGCGATGGTCTCGCCGAAGTGGTACTAACAGTGGAGAAACGCTTATCGATAATATTGATTGTTGGGGACTAGCCATCGATAATGAGAGATATCTCTACGTTTCCGACTGGAAAAATAATCAAGTGATACGTATACGCATGGGAACAAATAAACGAACAGTGGTAGCGGGTGGAAATGGAACAGGTGATAATTTTAATCAACTCTGCCATCCTGGATACATTTTTGTCGATCAGGATCATTCTGTTTACGTGTCGGATAAGGAGAATCATCGTGTGATGAAGTGGATGAAGGATGCGAAACAGGGAATTGTTGTGGCTGGTGGGCTAGGACAAGGACATACTCTGTCTCAACTACACTATCCGAATGGAGTGTGTGTTGATGCTTCGGGCACAGTCTATGTGGCAGACTATGGGAACCATCGAATAATGAGATGGTACAATGGAGAAATAAAAGGAAATACAATTGTTGGCGGACGTGGACCGGGAGAGAGACTAGATCAATTGAAATGTCCCGTTGGTTTGTCATTTGATAAACGAGGTAAACTCTATGTTGTTGACTATTTGAATAATCGAGTTCAACAGTGCTCATTTGAAACGAGTTGATGGTATTTGTTTGTTATATTTTTCTGTGAAAATGAATAAATTTGATTCCTCTCGTCACTGATACGACTACAATTTGTTCTCAGTACTCTCTCGTCCTTGAAAACAACATCCATGTGTGCTCGATTTGAGAGCAGTTCTCTGTAATTCCCTCGACTGAAGGGAGGGTCATACGAAAAAAACTTAAAAGCGTTTGTGGGGATGTTTGTGCCGGGTCAAAAGAACACAAAGGTCAAAAAACCACTAGATCACGAAATCGGACTTTCACCGTGAGAAATCACCCAATCCGAGGTATTCGGACTCGCTCTTTCGACCAATCACATTCTTTAGAGCTAAAAAACCGGCCAATCAGGAACTTTCGACCTCGGGCTTTCGACCAATCGGATTCCTCCAAGCTAAAAAAGCAGCCAATCAGGGGTTTTCGACCTCGGGCTTTCTACCAATCAGATTCTTCTAAGCTAAAAAACCGACCAATTAGGAGTTTTCAGCACTAGGCATTCAGCCAATAGGATTTTTTCATCTTGAAGTTCCAGCCAATTAGGGGTTTTTCCGTATTGGGCATTCAGCCAATCAGATTTTTTCATATTGAAATTCCATCCAATCAGGGGTTTTCGGTATTGGGCATTCAGCCAATAGGATTTTTTCATATTGTAATTCGAGCCAATTAGTGGTTTTAACTTGAAGAAGCCAATGTAAAACGGTATTTGTAAATGAGGTCACAACTTTAACAGTACATGGAGAATAACGAACTGTTGTTTTAATGTATTGAAATAGTGGAGCGATTAGCCATGAGTGGCGCCCCGTAGGAGCGCGGATGAACGACTAATCACCGATATTGCAAGCGCATTCCTCATACGCTCTGGAAAAGATCTATATGAAAGCTAGGTCCATTAAGAATACTGTACTAAGATTCGCTTCATTAGGAATTCTAATAAACTGTGACTTTTCAGCTAGACAATTAGGTTGAAGAAATAAGGAATAGTTCATAACAAAGTGTCGATTCCGGCCTGCCCATCGAGAATTTTCATGTTGTAAATGTA